TCAACCTACCATAAATTGATTAGTGGCGACTCCAAGCATAAAAACTTTTGCATGTTAAAAACTTAAACTCTAAGTTGCGAATTGGTAGAGCTTGGGAGGGCCCGAGTTAAGATTAGTCTTAATAATCCATTAGCCCGAAAAATGAGAAATTTTAGGTCGCGACACCATGATATCCGAGTGTAATATGGTGGGAAACCCCAAGGAGTGGTGGATTGATACTGGAGCAACTCATCATATCTGTGCAAACAGATCGATGTTCTCGTCCTACACAAGTGTGGAGGGTGATGAAAAACTTTATATGGGTAATTCATCAACTTCTAAGGTTGAAGATGTTGGAAATGTTGCTCTAAAGATGACATCTGGGAAAGTTGTGACACTAAATAATGTGCTACATGTGCCAGACATACGCAAGAATTTAGTGTCCGGATCTCTTCTTAGAAAGAATGGCTTCAAGTTGGTTTTTGTATCCGATAAGTTTGTACTCTCCAAGAATGAGATGTATGTAGGAAAGGGTTACCTCAGTGATGGTCTTTTCAAGTTGAATGTAATGACTGTTGTACCCAATGATGTTATGAATAAAGTTGTTTCTGCTTATGTGCTTGAGTCTCCTAATTTATGGCATGCTAGATTAGGACACGTTAACTATAAGTCGATAAAGAAATTAATGAACATGGGGTTATTGCCGAAATTTGATTGTTCAAGTGAGAAATGCCAAGTGTGTGTTGAATCTAAATTTTCTAAGCCTCCTTTTCATTCTGTAGACAATAGAGTCTTAGAACCTTTAGATTTGATACACACAGATATATGCGATATGAAATCAATACCGTCAAGAGGTGGTAATAAGTATTTTATCACATTTATAGATGACTGCTCGAGGTATTGTTATGTTTATTTGCTTAGTAGCAAAGATGAGGCTGTGAATGCTTTTAGAATTTATAAGTCTGAAGTTGAAACTCAGTTGAATAAGAAAGTTAAAATGATAAGAAGTGACAGAGGAGGTGAATATGAATTTCCTTTTGAGGAAATTTGTACTGAGTTTGGTATCGTTCACCAAATGACTCCTCCTTATACGCCGCAATCTAATGGAGTGGCGGAAAGGAAAAACCGGTCTTTAAAGGAAACAATGAATGCATTGTTGAATAGTTCCGGTTTACCACAGAATTTGTGGGGGGAAGCTATTTTGACGGCGAATTTTATTTTAAATAGAGTACCCCACAGAAAGACACAACAAACTCCCTATGAGAAATGGAAAGGCAGAATGCCTAACCTGAATTATCTCAAAGTGTGGGGGTGTTTGGCTAAAGTTGCGGTTCCTAAGCCTAAAAAGGTTAAGATAGGACCAAAGACTGTTGACTGTGTCTTTATTAGATATGCTCAGAATAGCAATGCATATCGTTTTCTTGTTCACAAGTCAGAGATCCCAGATATACATGTTAATACGATCATTGAATCAAGGGACGCTTCGTTCTTTGAAAATATATTTCCGTATAACATAGTATATGAGCCAAATGATAATAATAAGAGGTCTCGAGATACTATATCTAGAAATGATCCAATTGAGGATGAACCTAGACGTAGTAAAAGACAAAGGACTTCCACGTCTTTTGGACCTGATTTCTTAACGTATCTGTTAGAGAATGAGCCTCGGACATTCAAAGAAGCTGTGACTTCGCCAGAAGCCCCGTTCTGGAAAGAAGCTATCAATAGTGAAGTTGAATCCATCTTGTCAAACCATACATGGGAATTGGTTGACCTTCCTCCTGGTAATAAACCACTACAATGTAAGTGGATTTTCAAGAGGAAAATGAAAGCGGATGGTGCTATTGATAAATATAAGGCCAGGCTTATAGTAAAAGGATACAAGCAACGAGAAGGTCTTGATTATTTTGATACTTATTCACCTGTTACTAGAATTACATCCATAAGGATGCTAATTGCCATAGTAGCGGTGTATAAGCTTGAAATCCATCAAATGGATGTTAAGACGGCCTTCTTAAACGGGGATTTGGAAGAAGAAATATATTTGGAACAACCCGAAGGGTTCATTGTTCCAAGTCAAGAGAAGAAAGTATGTCGGCTTATCAAGTCACTCTATGGATTGAAACAAGCACCGAAACAATGGCATGCTAAATTCGATCAAGTCATATTGTCGAATGGTTTCAAGATCAATGAGTGTGATAAATGTGTATATGTTAAGAACACTCATAATGGTTTTGCCATTTTGTGCTTATATGTAGACGACATGCTTATAATGGGCAGCGATAGTGAGGTTGTTAAGGCGACCAAACGCATGCTCACAAGTAAATTTGATATGAAAGATATGGGGGTTGCAGATGTTATTTTAGGAGTTAAAATCCATAAAACATATAGAAGTTTAGCTCTATCACAATCCCATTATATTGAGACGATTCTTGGAAAGTGCAAGAATCTAGATATTGTACCAGTAAAGACTCCGATAGATGTTAATTTACATCTTTCGAAGAATACTGGTGAAAGTAAGGCTCAAAATGAGTATGCTAGTATACTAGGCAGTTTAATGTATGTCATGAACTGTACTAGGCCGGACATAGCTTGTGCGGTTAGCAAGCTAAGTCGATTTACAGTTAGTCCAAATGAAAATCATTGGAAAGCAATGAAACATTTATTGGGCTACTTAAAGCATACTCAAGATTATGCTTTGCATTACACAGAATATCCAGCGGTACTTGAAGGATACTGTGATGCAAATTGGATAACCGGCACTAAAGACACAAAATCAACAAGTGGATATGTATTCACACTTGGGGGAGCGGCAGTGTCTTGGAAATCATCCAAACAAACTTGTATTGCTAGATCCACTATGGAATCAGAATTTATTGCTTTGGATAAAGCCGGTGAAGAAGCAGAGTGGCTTCGAAATTTCTTGGAAGATATTCCTAATTGGCCTAAACCAGTGCCCACTGTTTGTATACATTGTGACAGTCAAGCGGCAATAGGAAGGGCAAGGAATGTCATGTATAACGGTAAGTCTCGACACATACGTCGAAGACATGACACAGTAAGACAACTTCTTTCTAGTGGAATTATCACCGTTGACTATGTGAAGTCAAAAGATAATATTGCGAATCCATTGACAAAAGGCCTAACTAGAGAGATGGTTGCAAAAACATCAAGGGGAATGGGTTTAAGGCCTATAAACAAGTCATCATAGCGGAAACCCTATCTAGTTGACTGGAGATCCCAAGATCTAGGTTCAAAGGGACAACTAAGTTATGAAGACAATGTAGAGTACTGTCAAATTTTTACTCATTCCCGGATGAAGACAGTACTAATATGTGAAGGTTAAGCAAAAGCTTTTAATGATTCTGAATTGAGTACGTGATATACTATATGTTCAGAAATCACCTATGTGAGTGTGAAGTGAGGGCCGCTTCTGTGAGAATTGAAAAGGCCGAATTCTCTAAAACACTCATGAGACCAGGCGGTATTCATGGCCAAAACGAACACAACAGTGAGAACCAATTTTGTTCGAGAAACAGTTGTGTGATTTCTATTGTCTAGGCTTACACCAAAAGTCGACAGTTCAAAGACATCAAGTCTACTGATTGACTGAGTAAGTCCGATAGGTTTCACTAAGGAAAGTTCAAGGTCTCAGACTACTTATCCTGACGCAACGTTTTCTCATGGAATAATCGCACATTGCATCTCATGCATACATAAAGAGTCATGATATCTGAACTTCTCATTCATGTGGGGGATTGTTGGGATTTTAGCACCAAAATCCCATAGAATTGAATGAGAAGTGTGTGGGTGAAAGTGTCCCACATAGGGTAGAAGAGAGATGGGACATGGGTTCAAATAGTTGAGCCTCACAAATGGGTTTGGGCCCCAAATAAACATGTTTGTTTGTGAGGTTCGGTTCGCCCGAACGGAAAACCGAAGCCCTTCGCGACTGTTCACGAACCGAACCGGTTCAAGTGAATCTTCGCTACTGTTCACGAAAACTCGCAACTCTTCATTTTTCTCCACTTGAATAAGACCGAACAGTTTTAGTTCGGAATAGACATCACTTCATGGCATTCATTTTTTTTCCCGACGCACTCTACGCATATTCACTTCATCATTGTCATTTGGTGCGATTGTTCTGCAAAATTGCGTTCGTTGGAGTCCTCCGAATACGTACCGCTTCGGAGGAACGAGATCCGTTCTATCCTGGGAGACGATTGTCCAATATCCTCGGGTACTGATTGAGGGGCCAAATTCGTCTTAAGGACACGACGTTAATTCGTTGGGCTCGGATCAACATTCTGCTTATTTGGTTGTACTGCTTTCAGGTTAGTTTTCCTAACGTTTGATTTTAATCTCTGATATACGAACTTAGCCGAACAACATGAATCACGTAAATCCGATATGCAATTTATTTTCTTGTTCAATTTATTTATTGTTCGATCACTTATTATTCATAATAGTTGGACCCCTATATGATCGTTACACGACAAATTCGACTCCATCAGAGTTTAACATGTCCAAATCACAATGAAGGATGTGTTTGCTTTAACGCTTGATTACAATGATGGAAATGATTTTGATTGGGGCTACTCATTAAAATTACACTTCGTGTATTTAAGTCCTAAAACTTGCAACTTCGATGCACTTGTGTCCTTCTATTAATTTCGTCAATTTTAAATGGACATAATATTTTACGTGGCTTTTTATGTTTTTTTCAATCATAACTGACCACATTGATTTTCAATCCATTAAAACCTAATGGAGTTAACCAAATGACTAAAATTTTAGGACATAAACTCACGAAATAAAAGTTTTAGTAAATACTTTGAAGAATCCTGCTGTAATTGTCTCATTCTGTTTTGGCAGACAAAGGTACACTTTAGCATATTAAGAATCTGCTTAACGGTTTGCGAGTCTTTTGATTCGAGTTAATGACAAGATTCATATCAAGAATAGAGCTGCCAAAAAAAAATTATGCAATTGTGAGACTTTAGGAGATACGATCGTGTTATTTAGTTCACAGAATTATTATAGTAACAGTATTGTGGCAGATTGTTAATGGCGTGAAATGCAAATTGAACCAACTCACTTCGTACTATACTCTGTTTCTCAACTGTCATTCTTAGCAATCTCCTCGAAGCATTGACAAAGCTCATGGGGTTGGAGAGCACGGCCATATGATCAGCTTCTCCAATCAACTTCACCGCCTTGGGAGGACTCCGATCCATCATCCGCCTCTGGAACTCCACCTCGTTGGCCTTGTCCTCACCACACATCACGAAAACTCTTTCTACTGACCCAAATCGCTCTTCCGTCAGGAGGGATTCGTTCGCCAAGTCCTCCATGAGGAACATCCTCGCTGGTGTTGGTAACTTCTTTGCTAATTCCAGGACCTGTAGTATATGTGATTCCACGGTATACATCGTTAAGTTAATGGCACATGGTCCAGTTACCTCAAATTGACAAAAAATGCCTCTACACTTCAGGAAAATGAACACAAAAGAAAGCAAAAATTGAAGAATTTGATAAAGTTTCTTCAAATTTGTAGTGAGTGCAATGCAAAGCAAAGAATATGCGTTAGCCTTAAGAGATTGATTGATTGATCAAATGCTTGGTCTGAATATATAATAGAGTCCGTGTTGAAATGCTCATTCCCCACATAGAACTTGAGGGTTTCACGCCTGTCAACCCTATGACTGTGGCTTCATCAAATGCCCGTGGACGGTCCAATTTACATGAGATTAGTCGAATTAACGGTTTGGCCATCCCACTTGAAAAATAATATGCAAATAGAACGTCCCTACCCCGCTGGCCGGACATATTAATCACAAGCGGCGTAAAACAAACCTTAAGTATGCATACCCACTTTAATCAGGACATCTTTACCACACAATAATGTTCTTGAAAATGAGAAGAGTAGTTATGTGTGAGTCTCACCTCTGGCGAACAATTTTGGTGCAGCTTATCTGTCATGTAATCGTCTCTTTGCCCCCAATCATGGTTATGATCAACGGTGTACTGTTTATTCATTGACGCCTCCAGTTTGCTCTCTCTGAAGAACTAACCAAAAAAGAGCAAATGAGGAACGTACTGTGAAAGACGGATGACATCTCGGTAGTGTCTTACCTCTTGCAAGAGAAGTACAGGCGGCGTTCTTGGCCTAGGCATAAATGCTGCCACATAAACTGCCACTTCGATTCTCTCGGGAAAGCTCTCCATGGCTAGCGAAATGCAAAATCCTCCGTAGCTATGCCCTACCAATATTACCTTCTCACCTTGGGGAAGAGAGGCCATCAATTCCATTAGCGGTTGCATGAAGTCACGCATCGTCAGAATCGTGTCTGGCCCTTCCAATTTCATGCTTGCACCGCCCAGACCCAGAACAGTGATACGATGGCCAGCCGATTTGAGCCATGTCGCCACCTTGTACCAACACTAGGCTCCAGTTCCGGCTCCATGGACCAAAACAAAATGTCTCTTACCATCCATTTGAACATGAAGGAAACCCTTGAATTGGCAATTAGCCGGTGATGGAAGCTAATAAATGTAAGGAAGTGTTAAATGCATCCATGATGTCCAAACACTACCGCCGGCCGGTACACGACAATATAGCCGAATTCAAAAGGTGTACGATGCCAAGACATTTATTATATACCAAACTCTTATGCAAAAGAAGGCTCCTCAATGGAGAATTTCAGATGCCACTGCCGACAAAGCCATTGATTTTCACGGTTTAGCTGGTTTTTCCTAGTCATGTTGCCTCAGGAATCAATGACACACTATACTTTTAGGGATAATGATACAAATAGTCTATGAATTTTGACCCACTATGCAATGTGATCCATAAACTTTTAACTTGTCCGATGTGGTCCCTAAACTTTACCTAAATATGCAATGTGATATCTGAACTTTTAATTTGTTCAATGTGGTCCTTAGACTTTTGGTACATGTTCTTTTTTTTTTTTAATTTGGTACATGTTCAAGTTAGTTCCCGGACTGTATGAAAATATTCAATATCACCCTTCCATTAATTCAAGTTCAAGGACAACATTGAACACTTTCATATAGTCTAGGGACTCGATTGAATATGTATCAAAAGGTTCAAGGACCACATTGAACAAATTGAAAGTTCAGGAACAACATTGCACATTGAGCTGAAGTTTATGGACCACATTGAATAAATTAAAAATTCACGAACCACATTACACATTTGGTCAAAGTTCATGGACCATTTGTGTCATTTTTCCATACTTTTTATTGTGAAATTCCAAACGTATGCTTGACTTGCTTTCCTCTCTTTCACTAGTGTATTTTCTCCATGTCAGAAATCAATAACAACTGCAATTTTTACTATTCATTGTGGGGTGCGTTTAGGAATGCATTTTAAAGTAGTTTTGAGCCCTAAAGATCTGTGAGTAAAACTTTTGGCGTTTGATTAAGCATATGTCAGTTTCATTCCATTGTTGGACCCTTATAAGATCATTGCGAAACAAATTTGACTCCATTAGATTTTAACAATTCCAAATCACAATGTAGACCAATGCGTTCATGGATTCCCGTTAAAATATATCTCGAATTTGAACCCGATCCTATTAAGTTTTTCTAATTTTAGTAGGTTTTCTAGTTTGACTAGGTTTCTTAAGGGGGTTTCCTTTTTTGATAAAAATATTACATATATAAGAGATGAAATTCTACTTGGTTGTACTTACCAAAAAAAAATTCAACTTGGTTGTCACATGCTAGAGCAAACAATAGGAATGTTAGGTTTTTATCTTCGTGAGTTTTCTAATTAAACTTTATGTTAGAGAATGTGAGATACAATTGTGGGTGTTTAGGATTTATAGCGGATTTTTTGGCAGCTGGCTCTTCCTGTGGAATTTGTATTGACAATCGGTTTAAACCACATAAATCTCCGGTGTCATTATTGTTCTTTGTAATTTCTTTGATAATTTCTTCTTCTCTTATTAGATGTAAATTACAAAATTCATTAGCTTTCACATTTTTCCTCAACAGTTCCTTCTATGAAGAGGCAAGTGTAAGCAAATGAAGAAGGTGCTGCTGTAAACGCTTGATTACAATGATATTAACAATTTTGTTTGGGATAAGTCCTAAAACTTGTCATCATACTACATTTAAGTTTAAAAAATTTCATTTCGTGTATTTAAATCCTAAGAGCTTGAAACTTTAATGCACTCGTATCTTTTCATTATCTCCGTTAGTTTTAAGTGGACCGCATAACGGGTTTTTTTTTATGATGTTTCAATTTTACTTGGCGGTTTGATAAAAATTGCCACATGGATTTTCTGTCCGCTAAAACCTAATGGATGTTATTATCCTAAGGCTAAATTGTACGACTATGACAAGTTTTGAAAAATATATACACGAAATGAATGTTTTAGAATACAAATGAGGGGACGTATGTACTTTTGGGACATCTGTGGTAATTGTCTCGTTCCATTTTAGGACTCTTGTGGCAATTGTCACATGCTGTTTTAGGACTCCTGCGGTGATTGTCCCATTCTGTTTTGGCAGAAAAAGGTACAGTTTAGCATATTATGGTTATGCTTAATAGCTTGCAAATCTTTTGACATGAGTAAACGACAAGATTCAAATCAAGAATTGAGCTAAGAAAAGCAAATGTAAGCGAATGTGAGGGTTTAGGGAATACAATCATGTTATTTAGTCCACAGAGTTACTATAGTAACAATAATGTGGCAGATTGCTTATGGTGCAAATGAGAACTCCATTTCTCAACTGCAATTCTTTGCAATGTCCTCAAAGCATTGACAAAGCTCATGGGGCTTGGAGAGCATGGCCACGTGATCGGCTTCTTCGATCAGCTTCACCGCCTTGGGAGGACTCCGATCAATCATCCGTCGCTGAAAGTCAGCCTCCATTAGCTTGTCATCTCCACACACCACGAAAATTCTTTCCACTGACCCAAATCGCTCTTCCGTGAGCAAGGATTCGTCTGCCAAGTCCTCCATGAACATCTTCACCGGTCTCGGTAACATCTTTGCTAATTCCAGGTCCTGTGGTACATGTGATTCCATAGCATACATCGTTGTTACTTATTTGTTATATGAGAAGAGTAGTTATGTGCGAGTCTCACCTCTGGTGGACAGTTTTGGTACAGCTTCTCGGCCATGTAGTCGTCTGTCTCCCCACGATCATGGTTATGATCAATGGTATACTTTTGATTCATTGACGCCTCCAGTTTGATTTCTCTCAAGAACTAATTCAAAGAAAAGCGTATGAGGAACTTATATCACCGGGACTGTAGAGTGTATACCTAATAATAAAGCTCCTCAAGAAAGTTATTATTCACGTTGATCAACATGGTCTCTTTTCGTTTTTGGAGAACTCAAAAAGTAAAGGAACGGCATTAAAGTGCGAATTAGATACTCGTGTGTGAAATCTTTCGAAGCCCCATCACGTATATATAAAGTTAAACTTATGTAATTGTAAAAATGGATTAAAGTCATGAGCTCTGTCCCGCAACCATTCCAAATAATAAACTTTTCCCTGAAAAAATTGAGCAATTTATAGGACAATGCCAAGGTTATTAGACACGTTTGTGCCGTCGTACCTCTTGCAAGAGAAGTGCAGGTGGGATTTTCGGCCTAGGCATGAATGCTGCAACATAAACTGCCACTTCGACTTTCTCGGGAAAGCTCTCCATGGCTAGCGAAATGCAAAACCCTCCATAGCTGTGACCTACCAATATTACCTTCTCATTCTGGGGAAGAGAGGTCATCAGTTCCATCAGCGGTCGCACAAAGTCGCGTAATGTCAAGATCGCGGCCGGCCCTGCCAACTCCATGCTTTCGCCGCCCAGGTCTAGGGCGGTGACACGGTGGCCGGCCGATTTGAGCAGCGTTGCCACTTTGTACCAACACCAAGCTCCGCCTCCGGCTCCATGGACCAAAACAAAATGTCTCTTGCTATCCATTTTGAACATGAAGAAAACCCCTCGAAGCTATTAAATATGAGTGATTGTTAAACGCATCCATGTTGTCCAAACACTTTTGCCGGCCAGTACACACTCATATAGCCGAATCCGAGAAGTGTATGATGCTAAGACAACTATGATATACCAAACTCTCATGCAAAAGAAGGCTCCACGGGAGAATTTCAGATGCCATTGCCAGCATAGCCTTTGATTTTCACGAGCACTTTCCAAACTTCTTTTTCAAAAAAAAAAAAGGGAAGATTTATAAAGGTAGAAAAATTATTAAATCGCAGAATTTTATGCATATCGGGCTTACCTATGCTTTTTATGACGGATTGTGCCACACTTATTTGGGTTTCCTAATGATATTGTCTTCTTAGTAAGGAACATAGGAATCAATGACACACTACTTTGGAGGTTCTAGAAGTATGCTTGAGTTGCTTTCGTCTCTTTCTCTTCGTATTTTACTCGATCAAGTGCAGGACACCGTCATCAATGATGGGAATTCACTAGTACCCTTCTCCATGTGGGAAATCAACGACTTCTTTTACTATGAAAGAGTATTCATTTTTAAATCTGCATTGAACCTTCTCTCTTTCTCGGCGGTGGAGGTGCCTGCGGCGGTGTAGCCACCAAGTCCGTTGGAGATGGGGTCACGCGACCATAGGCTAGCCACTCACCGAGGTCGTTGCCAACGACCTACGCAAAGGAAATCTGGCTACTTTGACACACTATCCTGGTGACATCTGCCTTGGGGTCGGGCAACCCTAGGCCAAACTGATTTTTCCAAAGTCATGCGATCCCTATGCCGTTCAGCTGGGTTCTTCAATCTCATGCCAATACTTGGTAGGGTCGCACGACTTGAGGCTAGACAGATCTTGTTGGAGTCGCATGTGACACCACTCAATCGCCGGGGCCGCATACGACCCCAATGACACTTTGCCTGGAGCTGAGCAACCACGGCTGCATGCAGCATGGTCAGTTGGCAAATACATAAAAAATTTTAATTCGTAGTCCATTGCATAAAAATAAGAAAAAAATTTCACTTAGAGTAAAGAAAGAAAGATTGAAAGGGGCAATGGAAAGTAGGAGAAGGTGAATGTGATATTAGCATTGGAAGTTACTCTTCTTTATGTGCGGTCAACAAATTGTCAACTTGCCCGTTTTAAAGAAAAGGAGATATAACGTTTAATCCAACGTAATAATTGCCAAAAATGAAACAGTCCAATTACATGGGCAACATCCATGTTATATAGTAAAGAAAGTTTTCAAAAATCCCAAAGCATAGTGTATTCAAAGTTGAAACTTCCTCAATTAGTCAAGATCAACAATGTAACGTCCTTAGCTCGGGGTTATTAATACGATGTTCCAGGCTCATCGCCGTCCCATTTCTTTTATTCGATTAATAAGCACATGTGGAAACGTGTACAAATGAACTCCCAAACAAAATAATAGCTGGAAATCAGGGAAGCACAACAAGCAAAACACACTAATGCCATATTACATAAACATATTTCACAAGCCCTTTTCTACGGACCGTTCCACGTACAAACCATATCTGGTTACATCACAAGCGAAGGCCGGGGTTAATCCTAACTCCTCTACATCAACTTCCATCTTGACGAGTACACCAAAATGAACCGGGGACGCGGAGCTCATCCTGAAAACATGAAAAACAATGGGAGTGAGTTGAAAACTCAATGAGTAAATTCACTAATATTCGTGTAGGATGATGCCTTGCCGTCGTGCTAACACATACAATTATTTTCCCCACCTTATGTCGATGGCAAATCAATAGAAAAGACTTTGACATTGCCCTTGCTATGTTTACATAAAAGCTCACCTTTATTCGGTCACATAAAAATATACAAGAAAATTTACACGTGAAACCTCGCAACCAATCGGCATGCAAAAATACCCGAAAATATTGTTAATTCATTTATTTTACAATCGAAATCCATCGGGCATTGCCTCCTCAATATGCGGGTGACGAGTCCTCCGGAATCCTTCGGGCATTCGGAAACCTTCGGCTCATCAATAAACACACATATTGGCACACATATAAGATTCAGTTATCATCATCCTGGCTCAACCAGGGCATCCCGGCTCAACCGAGGCATGCAGCTTCATGCTAGGCATCCTGGCTCAACCAAAGCATCTCGGCTCAACCGAGGCATCCCGGGGCTAGCTTAACGAGGCATCCGGGCTCAACCCAGGCATCCCGGCTCAACCAAGGCATCCCGGCTCAACTGAGGCATCGCCTCCTACGCTATGTGACGACGGTTTTTTTCTTTCATTTAGTGATCACACATCATGGGTCGCACAAGCCGGTTTATTATCCGCTATCTTAACCCACACATATAAGGCCCTAGTTGCTATGTACACATGAAAAGCTCACAAGCTCATAAATCAACAAGCATGGTTAAGAACATCAACATATCACACAAACTACCTCATCCAAGTGTCATGCAACCATGCACAAGAACAAAATCGTTTCAAGCAATAACAACCTCCCAAGCTGCCTTCCAACCACGTAACACACCGCCCTATCCAAGTGTTAGGGAATTCACTCACCTGTAGGCACAAGAAAACGTCTACGGGGGTCGAACGGGAAAACGGCGGTCGGCGGCGGCGAACGGGCGAGAGAGAGAGAGGCGTGCAAGAGAGCTAGAGGAGGAAGAAGTGAGCTCCAAGGTGAGAATGGATGAGGGGCTCATTCTATTTATAGGCACCAACCTCGTCATTACCCTTCCAAGTGGCCCAATCATCTTCTTTGAAGTGGCACGCCTAGAGTACCGAGGTGGCAACCCTAAAACGGCAAGGTGGCAAGCTTAAGGCCCTAGGAAGAATGCTTGTTATCTTCCTATTAGACCACTCATTCCTATAATGATGACTCAGCTAACTTGTTTTCCAAGGAAAATCTAAATGTAATGATTTACTAAATCTATTATTGCCACCTAAGAGGGTAAGTCACCTCCTTCATTTAATACCCAAGACATGGCCATCATTGGGCTTGGATTTTAGTCACATGTTTCTACCCAAAACTAGCTCTCCAAGTTTTTTACTCTCTAGAATCTTCCCTAAGCCTCCTTCTTGCCTTTTACTTTCAATAATCACTTTAGGGTAATGATAGCCCTAATTCTTAGGGACACGTAAGCTTGCATTAAATGACTAGCTTCCAAGAGGAATTAAGGCAACTTAGTCTTCAAGACAACTTGTTCCTCAAGCCACAAAAATAGGTAATTATGCCCTAAGTAGTTTAGGGACACCTAAGCCTAGGAAATCATATCTCATTATAAAGCTCAGAATGTATTGATTTTGTTTCCAGAAAACATCAAATCGAAATTTCAACGTTCTCATATAGAAAATGATGAATCTTTGTAATCTGGCAAAACCGGGCAGTTTTTGCACTGTTCTAGAAATCAGACTTAACAACATAATAAAATGGACTCCGAAAATTATAAAATTTGAATATGTCATAAACAAAACCTTAACAAATATTTCCCACAAAGAACACGAAATATGGATTGTGGCGACCGACCTCCGTTTTTTTTTAACATCAAAAAGGGTCTCGCCTGGTATGCACTAAGTCTAAGTTCGGGACTTAACTCGGGCTCTCCCAAGCCCATACCATATCGCAACTTAGAGTTTAGGTTTTTAACTTGCAAGTAATTTTTATCTAGGAGTCGCCGCTAATCAGTTTGGGATGGGTCGATTAGACACCCAAGCAAGACAATGGGAGAATTGCTTACTTTTGCGAACTAGAGATTAAATGAGTTCGGGGACTTGGTTACACTAATTGAATAACTAATGCCCTTTTGGTACCTTTTTACCTTGTTCATTTTCAGAAAATATTTTGTCAGGCAATTTGGATAGATTTTTAGGACATTTCTCCTAACATGTGAGGTGATCGAGCGAGTGCACAATCATTAACGATTAACAGTCAAGACAGATATGCAGCCTATAGTTCTAACCCTAACTAAGACGACAACATTTAAAACATGTCAATTTATGCAATTAAAAACAACATACATAATAATAATACAATAACAATGAATATAACATACAAAATACTGCCGCATAGTCTTAGAGCCTATCCAATTTAAAACATGATTGATAATCAGATAATTCACATAATTTAAAAAAATATTCAAAAATACTAATTTATAAATTATTTTTGAATATATAAAAAAGATGATTTTTGTAATAATATTAATATGACAGAAAAAAATTAAAATTAAAACTAAAATATTAATATAATATTCGGTCGGGTCCGGTCACGGATCCAGGTCGGGTCTTGGATTCGGGTCCGATCAGGACCGACCTGGATCCGTGAAACCGACCCTAATCAACTGATTCAGGTCGGGTATTCGGATCCGGTTCGGGTCTGACTGACCCAAGCCAATGAACTGGCCCTGAACCTATTTTTTTGAACAGAACCGGGTTGGTTTAGCTGGCTCTCACGTCTCAAACACAGGGAGGCCACTAACCGAACAAAATTCCGACGATTCGCTGGGTATTTCGTCCGACCAGTGGCATCACTCTTTTCAGCTTATCAAGCTAAAGAGATTCCGACGCCTAGTCGCCGGAGAACTGACCGAAATGGTCACCGGCTAGACGCCGATCAGAATTCATCAACCCGAACATCGATCAGAGCTTGGTCGACGAACCCAAGCCACGGTTTGGCTATTTTTGATCCCTAATGATCTCTTCAACACCAATCTGAGTCGGCTTAGTCACAATTCGGCTCCCTGATCTCCAGCGAAGCTCAAACACAAACCGGTCTCATTGAGGCATTCTAACGAACAGTTGGTGTGCACACAAAAAAAAGGAGGACTCCGGGCTATTTCGGGGCTCAGACCGGCTCCGAT